AAACGTTATAAAATTTATATTTAAAATATTATTGCACGGTTATTTGCTCAGAAGATAATGATATATTAATGGAGTAGAGAACGAGCTCAATAGTTACAAGCAATGGTCTCGAAGAGATTCAAGAATGATCTGTTTCCCACGCTCGTCGAGCATCGAGCGTCGATATGCGACATTCATTTGTTGTAAAAAATGAATGTGCACTCGCGCTGATTTTCGGAGTCACGAAGCAACGCTTCTGCTGCGCTATAACTCGCTGCATTCAGTATATCGAGACGACGACGACGGACGTTCAGTCGAGGCGACGTCGAGAGCTCGAGTTAATACTATATTTATTCTAATTTATTACACTACAAATATGATTAATATATACGCGTGGATAGCTTGCAGTGATTTTTTGACCCCAAAAACAGAGGCTAATTATTTGTCTCGCAAACCGAATAAATACGATCTCGATAAATTTATGAGATCTGCCTACGCAAAATCATTGAATGTGAAAGAATCACTATTGTTCAATGATGACTTGACCATTGTGACGGGGCACAAGGCACGTAAGCGTCACGCCGCGAATTTTCGCATATCACGCGCGAGCATGTGTGTGTGGTCGGCTCTACATAGCCTCGCGTAACTGTGTAAAGTTCCGCGTTACATACGCACGCACGCGTACTGCCAACCTCGTACAAAAAAAATCAAAAAATAAACAAAACCCCAAAATTACGACACTTCATATGAGCATTGACTCTCTTTTTGTACTGCTGCGGCTGCTAAGTTTTTTTGTTAAAAAATGTCAAGTTTGGATGCAATAATAATAAACCATTTTGCGAAGTATACTTTTATGTACGACGAAAGTAATGCGTTGCATTACAACATTAATAAGAAAAATAAATGTCTCTCAAAACTTCAAATAATCATCTACCAAAAATTAGATGCAACCCTTTCTGGTAAGTGGAAAGAAGCAGCAAATGTTTAGAGCTTTTTTTTATAATTGTAACTTAACTTTATTAATTTTCCAGTTGAAGAACTTTGGAATAAGTGGTCCAAAATGAAAGAAGATTTTCATGAGGTGGATGAAAAACTAAAAAATAAGAAAATCATCACAAGCTGTGAGCGAAAGCTGCATGCCAGACTTTTTTTTCTAAAATCATTTTCAAAGCATAAGAATGCAGTTCCAATGCAAATCAAGAAAACTACAAGAAAATCCTCAGCTGCAAGTACATTAAAAAAGTTAGGAAGTTATGATGGTAAACTTGCAGTGTACTATCAAAAATGTTGCCTAAATGAAAAAGAAAAAGAAAAAGAAAATACAATAGAAGCTCAGAATCATACTAATAAAGCAAACGAGTCGAATTTAAGTGAAGCAAACAGAAAGCGGTGTTGTAATGTACTTGTGAATTATTTAAAAAATTATAATAATGCAGAAAAGCATGAATGTTTATTGAAAATGTTGGAAGCTATAAAAGAGTTTAAAAAACAACAACTACTAAATAATAAAATCATACAATAATATATATGTAATAATATTAGAAATTTTGTACTACGAATTTTTAAAATTATATGTTCTTTTGATGGTATAAATAAAGCGCTTCACTAAAAAATTAATGGTAAACTTTCTTTATTGAAAAATAATTCTCTAAGGAACATTATTGATAATATATAATGACAAATACTTTTTGAACGAACGCTAACTTTTCTATTTCTGAAATTCTTTCTTAAATTTATTTAAAACGTATACCAAACAATCATTTTCCTGACCAGCGGGTACATTTTTAAATTCCTCCAAAAGAATTCTTGTGTAATCAGTACTGATTGTTGCTGGAGTCGAAGGATTTGAGTGAAAGTTTGCAGAGGTCGAAGTTGATGGCAAAGAGGGTTGTGTAGTTGTAGCTGCACTAGGTAACGTCCAAGCAGAATTTCCAGGGTTGGGAGAGGCAGAAGACGATGACCAAAAAGGATTTCCAGCGTTGACAGAAGCAGAAGACCATGGCCTAATAGGATTTCCAGCATTGGCAGAAGCAGATGATCGCCAAGAGAGATTGACTGAATTAGCAGGTGTCGATGAAGTATAGTCAGAACTTGCATTCTGAGCGCTGGCAGGGGTTGCAATCATTTTATTCTTAAATAAATCCAAGATATCACTCATCTGTGAATTCATTTTTTCTATATCAGCAGTAGTTTTTCTTTTCTTTTTTGATGCATTAACATCTGGATCTGGAGCTTGTAAAGGCCTTTTTCTTCCACTTGAAGTACTTGGCTGTTGTTGATAAAATTGTCCAATTTCTGTAAATATATATATAATTAAAAAATAACAGTTAATTTGTAAACTGTAAGCATGAATTTCAATAAGCACAAAGCTGCATATACCTTTATTTTGGTTTAAAGTGGACCAAACTTGTTTCTGCTCTAGAATCGGTTCCATGAAAGACATCTCTTTCATAAAAGGAAAAGAAGTTGTCTTCGCTCCATCACCAGGTTAATGCTTCATCATTTGTTTGCGAGCTTCTTTGAAGTCATTCAGAAGTGAGTTCCAAGTACTTTCTGCACCATTACCTATACAAGGATAATTATATTATAGTCTAATTATGCACAGTATTTTCAAATGTAGTTTTGAAAAAGACCTTCAAGCCTAATCTTAAAAAAAAGATTTGCAGCTTATTGTTGCAAATATAAAAATAAAAATTTTTCGGTAATGATTTCATCAGTAGCAAAAGAAATGATAATTTAAAAAAAGTAGAAGCACCCACCTGTAATAGGTTCTGCATCAATGTCCATAATTTGGTTAAATTTATTTACACTCTCGGCTATATCTACAAATGCCTGCCTCTTTTTATGCACTTCTTGGAATTCCGGGTGAAATTTATTATACAGTCGTCCCTGTTTTTACGCGGTAGTTCCGTACCAAAAAAGTACCGCGTACAAAAAATCGCGTAAAAAAAAACATTGCTCTTATGGGAAAAGGAGGGTTACATGCAAAGGTGTGACAAATTTTCGATTTCCAAAACATTTTATTAAAAAATACATGTAAATGTTACTTAAAAAAATCAGTAACGCGTGTCTGTTTAGCACGTCTCATAATATTTTTGTGTAATTCAACGTAGGCAGTCACAGCAACTTCACAATCATGCTTAAATTTCATGCTACGCACCATGATTGGATCATACTCGAGGGCCACATCATTCGGGAAACTACATGAATATAGCTGATTAACAATAGAATAAGCGATGATCATTGGGGCTACTCGCGAAGGAATCCGCGTATAATCAAATCAGTGCGCGTAAAAAAATTTTTTCGGTCTCAATTCTGTAACCGCGTATAATTGAAATCGCGTAAAAAAAAGCCGCGTAAAAACAGGGACGACTGTATAAAAATGGTCGAGACAGCACCCCGTGAATTATAATTTCCATACAAAAAATGGTATTTTCACCCATTGTTAACCTGTCCTTTGTCTTCTCAAGAAAAATCGACGATCTCCACTCAACGGCTGAATAGTATATTCTGGTGAAGTTCCCAGGGTATGCCGGTATATATAGAGGCGCTACACCTTCGAGGGCCTTCGATAAGGCGGCAAAAAGTCTCTTACTCTGTCGGTTGTACATCAAACTTGTTTCACCTTGTCCAGTGATATCACTTCGATTCCTGCGAATAGTAAAGTCGAATCAATTAATAACGTTCAAATTTGTATCGTTCTTATTTGTTTTCATATTTGAATTTATTATTTACTTTACATCTGACATGAATAATGAACAAATTTTAAATATTATTGTCGGATTATTGACCGATTCCGATCAATATTCTTATATTTACATAAAATCGAAAACAGATCACGGTTATAAAACTTCATCTTTTTGTCGAGCGGTTCAGTTAGCAGCTAGTGATCTTCATGACATCGATATAACAGGTAAATTAATTATTATTCAATATCAATTATTAAGTTTTTATAAATAGAATTTAATATATTCATGGAAATGATTATAATTATTTGTCTATTTCAATGTTTTTGCAGCCCAAGATATCATGAAGATCTGGAAATCTGCGAGGGACAAATTTGTACGTTTAAATAAAAAGTTAGGAATATACCGTTCTTTGGGACCGTATGACCAAGATTTTTACAAAAGGTTTATATTCCTTGAAGACCACATTACGCACAAAGATGGTGTAAAGGTCACCAAGTGGCAAAATATTTTTCCCAACGAAGATGGGCTTACTCCAGAAGAGAGAGCCGAGTTGAAAAAAGCTCTAGGCGAGGATGAATACAATTTGTTGTGGCCTGAGCCAGACTGTGATGATAATGAAAGTGAAGATGATTTTATGGAACAGTTTCCAGACGTATCGTCTCTTTTGCAAGCTACTGATGCTGATGGAAATATTGAAATGCTCGACGAAGACAGAGATTTAGTCATGTCTACAATCAAGAACAATGAGGTAATTTATAAACAAATAAATACATTCATGTGTCAATTATCATTTATAATTTACTTAATTATTTGATTAATTTTCATGATTTTGCAATAATTCCCCTCACCAGCTGAAAGGAAATTTGGAGAAGAAATTGTTTAAGAAGAAGAAAGTTGACACTGAGCAGATTGACATGGAGCTGGCATCAGCGATATGTCAATTATTTAATGAACTAATAGGAAATCAACCTGGTTTAGAAAATCAAAGTGAGGCGTTTACTTTTATTATGGAAAAAATCAAAGAATTTTGGTTAGATGCCTGGTTTTAGTTACGAATTATCATTGATAAAAACCCCATGTACAACTGACTTATTATTGCAATAAAAAAATTTCAATTACATCTCATACTTAATTATTATAAGACCTGATTCAATTTTTCATTTTAAAAGTAAAATACAAATTATAAAAAGAACACACACAGACAAACGAATGTTTACAGGAAGTAGAGAGTAAGTAGAGAGAAGGAGAGAGAGATTGAGAGTCAAACAAGCTCATTGCATAAAATATGTGCATATAACTCAAATTTGATCGTTACCTGCAACTTTGTACGTGTCAGATTCTTCCCCACTGCCATGGAACAGCTCCAGCTGGGGAAATGAAGTATTCTGCTAAACTATTTCTCACATCAATGGCATTGAACTGGATTGGAGCAACAATTTCTATTTGGTTATCTTCAGTATATCCAATTGGTGCATCAATCCAATGACTAATAAAACCCCGTTTTTCTCTCAAATTCCTGGTAATCCTATAATTATGAAGGCAAGCAGTAGAAATTATGATTTGTTCACTTGTGGCTAAATCCCAGCGTAGCTCTTTTTGATGTATAGCCCAATACGCAGTCAGTGAGCCAAAAGCACACTCCACTGTTTGCCTTACATGACTTAATCTTGAGTTGAATATCTCCATGTTAGGTGTCATATTGTTGACTCTCATGAACGGCTTCATTAAGTACTGCTTGAGAGGAAAACCCCCATCACCAATCAAGAAATATGGAACTAACAAATTGGAGCCTGGTATCAATTCTGGTGGAGGTAAACACAATTCACCATTTTCCAACCCAGCACAAATATCACTATTATTAAATGTGAAGGCATCGTTAAGCGAACCTGTAAAATTGTATTATTTCTAAGAGTACATGAATATAAAAATGTATGGCAAATAGTTTTTTTTATACTGCATCCTCCCACATTAATCATGAGAAATCTCTTGTGGATGTCTGATATTGCCATCATTACAATGCTATGAAACTTCTTGTAATTATAATAAGCACTACCTGAGTGCTTAGGCTTGCGTACTTCACAGTGCTTCCCATCCAATAATCCAATACAATGAGGAAAGTCCAGTTGGTTAAATTCATATGCAACTCTTTTCAAGTCTTCAGTAGATGGCTTACGCAAATACCTTGGACCTAGAACAGCACAAATGATCTTGCACACCTCTGGCACAATAGCATATAAAGTTGATTCGCCAATTGTATAGAATAGTGCATTTTTGTGAACACTGTCAGCTTTGGCCAGGTAACTGAAATGATCATAATTATAATTATTCTAAATAAAATTGCCTATTTTGTTTTCAATTAATGTACATGTTGTCCTTACTTCAAGACAGCTGCAAATCGGAGCTCAGATGGTAGAGCTGGTCGACAGCTGTTTTTCTCCAAATATGGCAATAAAATATCACAAACTACATTAAATTGATGGATGGTGAAGTTAGTGAATGAATAGAACTCTTCTTCATTGTTCATTTTAAAATATAAAAAGACACTCCGATAACAGCCATATCCAGTAAGATAGTTGTGTCGAATGTGGGGCTTTGCCCACCACCGTCTTGTACTTTCTTTCACTTCATTCAGCTCAATCACTTTTTTATAAAGATTCCAAACTTGGAATAAATTTTCAACGTCTTCTCTCGTCATTACTTCCATGTCGAAGCTCCGAACTTACTGCTCCAAAATTCTCGCATGAAGGGAGCCGAAATTTTGAGGTTTTGTTTTATATTTTGATTTTTTTGTACGAGGTTGGCAGTACGCGTGCGTGCGTATGTAACGCGGAACTTTACGCAGTTACGCGAGGCTATGTAGAGCCGACCTGTGCGTGTATGTTTTTCGCGATTTGCAGGTCGACAAGAACAGCAGCAGCGGCAGCAGCAGGCAACGACGCTTCGGCACGTGCGGCAGCGTACGCGTGCGAGAGAGACAGACAGCTGCGCGTGAGCAGACGTGCCGACGCGCAATAGATCGCGGCAGAATAGCTCGAGTAGGTGACACGGCGAGAAACGTGAGTTTTTTCGCACAGCAGCCATTTTTGATCGCGAAGAGTTCGAGGTTATCGCCGACGAAGTGCCAAAGTAAAAAAGTAAAACCAGGTCACCGTGTTTGTGCTCGTAGGAGATGGCAGGAATCGAAAGCCGACGCAAAGATACGTGTGCGAGATCGCCCAGGAGGGCTAGTTGTCGTGTGTGTGCCCGTGAAAAAGTTCGCCGGTAAGAAAGTTCCGCCCAGCCGGGCCTGTGCAAGCCAGTGCACCAGTGCAAGTTTCGCCCAGTTGGGCCTTTGCCAGTGACTGCACACGTGCAGACCAGATTGGACATCGCCGCCGAGACGTGGGCGTAAGAGCGTACATCGTCGCCGCACGTGCCCACCGACGCCCGGACGAGGGCCGAGAGTCAGCTGAGAAACGGAGCCGATCCAACGTCGAGGCGCCGAAGATTTGGGGTTAGTTCTTAAGATTATTTGCGAGTCATTGGTCGACGCGACTACCGGGTCCTGGGCGTGTGATTGTGTGAGTTCGAGTTTGGCTGACGAGTATCGCAGCGGTGATACGCAGCAAACAGTGTATTAGTGTGTGGGTGTACGTAGATATTCGGGCCGGTAGCATCAGGGCGGATCGCCCGCGGCCGAGTACGAAACGCATCGTCGAGATCAACGTGCGAATGCCACGTCGCGTCGATACACGTGCACTCGACATCGTCACATAGATCGCGCGCGCAGCGGCCATATTGACTCGGCCGATTAGGATCGCATCACGAGATACGATCGCAGTGAGCGTCACGCGCGCCCCTGGTGGGCAAAGTCGGAAGTAAGATTAGGTCGAACTTGTGCCTCGTCGCGTCATATTGTAAATCATCGCCCGTTGGGCAATTTGAAGTGATTTTCCGGCCAATTGGGCCTTGAATTAAATAAAGTACCACATTTAATTGACATAATCGCCTATTTATTTCGCGACATTACTTTTCGCGGTTTTCAGCAGAAATTGCCGGAGTTCGACGGTGAGACAGTGAGTCTACAGCAAGCTCGCACTGACGGCGGGCCGAATATCCCCTCTGAGATTAAGTAACCAGGTTAGGTAGTCCCATAAGAAATTCATTCGACGGCAGGTGATTTGCTGCTTTTCCCCACCCCGGGGTCAGCCGTCCGTTGCACCATATCAACCGATGAAATAATACCCCGATCGAAAACAAACAGGTAAAATTTTATTTCTATGCACGTCCGTTGAAAATAAACTAAACAAAAGCATAATTAAAACTGCTATTTTATAATCGTATTTTTATTTACAGTAAAATAAAAGTCGAAAATCTAATCATAGTGATAGCTTATCGATCCACAGCGATATTCAACCAAGCAGGTAAGAAATTTGGTACTTTTTTTATGAATTTTGATAAATGTCTTGTGATGAAAAATTTATAATTCAGTCTTCGAAGTAACAAATCCACTTGCAGTCAAAGGTCATCGAACAATGTAAGTGTCATAAAATGATCTAATGATTCAAGGCATTACACGATATTAATTTTCCAGGCATCGATATTTTACAATGGTTTATTAGCCTACTGCTATCACTGTAAATAGTTATCAAAAACTTTTAATTACAAAACAAGCTCCCACAACAACCCATTCAAAAAAGAAAAATTATATCAATCCACCATGAAAACGACGTTGTGTCAATGAAAAACACCAAGTAAGTAAATTTTTCTTACCTTTTCCATCGTGTTTTACCTTTGTCAACAACTGTCGTGTTGCGTCTTACGGCCGAATTTCAAATTTATCGTTCTTTCCTTATGTTCATCGTAGTCGTCGTCCTCTCGCGTACTTCTCGTCTCGGTCGCGGCTCCCGAATTTCGCCACCCGGTCGCAGACTGGCCTCGTCGTGTATTCGTCTCGCGTAATTCACGTCTCGGTCGCGGCTCGATCTCATCGTCTCGCGAACTCCTCAACCCGGCCTCGGTCTGTCCTCATCGTGTCATCGTCGTATCGCGTAATTCACGTCTCGGTCGCGGTCTGACCTCGTCGTGTCGTCGTCATCTCGCAAATTTCTCGGTGTTTTACGTTTGTCAACAATTGTTGTGTTTCGTCTCACAGCCGCATTTCAAATGATCGTTCTTTCCTCATGTTCGTCGCAAATATCGGTCGTCAGATCGGTCGTAAGATGGATCAGCAGACCCAGCCTACTTCGGTATGAAAATCGTTCTGGCACGAGTAAGGCAGACGGGCAATTTCTCGCAAATCAAGATGAGATTGAGAATGTGGACTAAGATTGGAAGTGGGATAGCACGCAGTTGACGCGCAGTCAGGTTGTTAGGACTGGAAGACTCCGACATAGCCGGCTTAGGTTCTTAATTTCGATGGGAAAAATAGGGGCCCAGATATCAATAATTTCGGCACGAGGAGAAAGCTTGTCGGTAGCAGTGACGGTAAATGGCTGTGTAAAGACAGTACGCCAGTATGGCTTCATACAAGTCTGAGGTGGTAAAGGTCGGCGACACCTTTTAGTACAGAAGCAATACATCATACGATATAGGATATTATTATACGATATATAATACGACATAGGGGACACTTTTCGGCCCAGCTATTAGGACCCTCGCTGCGCTCGGGCCCTCAACTACGCCGTGCCAAAAAGTGTTACTTATGCCACTAGTATCTTAAAGTACTATGTTGATGAATTCCAAACTCAGCAATCCTAGAAAAACTGACATTGAATTCAAATTTAGCAACTATAAAAATATATAGCCTACTAGGTGCAGTTTCAGGAACCGAACCTTTTTTTCTCTTTCTTTGTAACTGGGTAATTTACATTAACTTGATTTTGTATTATTTTAATATAACGAATTAATTTTAAAATAAAAATTATGAAAAAATAAAATAAATAGGAAATTTTTTTCTTATTTTCAGTAAAAAAATTTTCAGCACATACCAATGATTAGGTGAATTTGTAGGCTTGCTGGATTAATACTATACTCATGAAAAGAATGAAATATCCTTAAATGTTGTATTAAAGCTTTCCAAATAGATGTTTCAGAATACGATGAATAAATATCAAGATACACTAAGTATTCGAAAGGATCTGTCGTGTTTCTGTAAAAATCAAAATAATGGTCATATGTGCAATGAATTTTTTAAATGAAAAATTGTATGTAAGAAAAATTATTAATCATAATAATGAACATGAAAAGTCAAAATAAATAAATTATATTGTGTGGAAGGAAGGGGATGAATGATAATTACATCACTGAAAAATGAATACAAATGATCGATTAGGTAAATTAACTAAAATTGCTTCATACTAACGCAGCCAACGCTGCAGTGGACATTATATAAAAGTATAGTACACGTGATACGTAATAACAATTATTGCATATTCCCCACTATTTGTACCAAGAATTGCACATCTGAGAGGCTCGCTTAAGGTGCGAATTCAGTACACAAGGGTTCAGTACACAAGTTCACAAATTCAGTACAAAGAAATAACGATCAAATAGGTTATATAAAGGTCTTCTTGCGTACAACATCTCCCTTAAATGGCAATGAACGTGACCTTGAAAAAAACTACAGGTATATATATTCAAACGTAAAATATTCCGCTCTTTTCAAATCTGCAATAAAAAATGTGGGTCACTGCACAAAAATCAATTTTGGTTCACTGTAGCTCAGTTTTCAGAATGTTCTGAGGATTTGTGGGAAGGAAACGTTTTATTGAGGCTCTGAAAGGTTAAATTTCTACTAGGGATTGTGTGATAATTCATTAATAATATGCAGGGTACGACAAAAGTATGGAAACCCCTGGAAATATCGCAGAATATTCGTTAAAAAAAAATCAAATACCCCATTTTCGACGTATTTTTCGACGGAGAATCCAATGGTGACCTTAAATTTGACTTAGAACATAACCTAAAAGCTGCAGTAACTCAAAATCAAGTTTTAATACGGTAACCCCAATTTTTTATTTCAGATTCGAAAAGAGCAAACAAATTTACGTTAATTGTGTATTTTGTTTTTTGTTCAAGGTAATTTTGGGGGCGCTACAGTTAGAAAATGAAGCTCTTACTCGAACTTAATTTTAGGTTATTTGAGCCTGCTGACGACCTATAGGTTTCGCCATCTATTGACAGGCCGAGTGTACTTTGGGTGGAGAGAGCGCGGCGTGGATGAAGCGACGAACGAGCGCGCGAGCCGTCTCTTTTCCCCGTGAGTGCGCCGCGCCTGCCTCACTTGCCAGCGAGCCTCTGCACTGACCGAAGCTACTTAAGGGGAGGCTCTCATGAGACTCGATCAAAAAATCGATTTTTTTTTTTTTTGCTTACTTAGATAGCAAATGTCCCGTAGAATACACTCCCGAAACCCTTTTTATCAAAATCGATTTAGTTAAAAAATTATTGGCAAAAAACCGAAGCTGTCTTTTTACGAAGGAACGATGTATGTATGTATGTACATTCACTTTCTAAAACTTTAAACGCGTTTTTCTCGAAACT